TTCTTTTGCGCACCGTTCATTTGGACACAGTTCTTTTGCGCACCGTACAATTAGACACCGTTGCTTTTGGACACATTTAAATTATATTTCGACAAACACACAGACACACGCGTATGTATGTAGGACCCTGTTTGGAAATTTTGTTAATTTATAAAAAATAAATCTTTCTAAATCAGCGTTTGTTCAATTGGACAGTTCTTTTACACACAGTTGAGTGTCGCACAGTTCAGTGTCGCACAGTTCAGTGTCGCACAGTTCAGTGTCCCACAGTTCAGTGTCGCACAGTTCAGTTTCGCACAGTTCACTTTCGCACAGTTCAGTTTCGAATAGTTCAGTGTCATTGCACATGTAACAGATACAAGGTGAAGTAATCAAGAATTAGAAAAACGAATGAAGTGAAATTCAACTATTTTGTAAAGCAGAATATTCTTGTGTGCATCTACACTGAATTGTGCGAAAGTGAAATGTGCGAAACTGAAATGTGCGAAACTGAATTGTGCGAAACCGAACTGTGCGACACCGAACTGTGCGACACCGAACTGTGCGACACTGAACTGTGCGTAAAAGAATTGTCCAATTGAACAAACGCTGATTTAGAAAGATTTATGGTAATTATGCATAAAAGGGGCCTCCTCTCCGATTTGCTTTATTTTTAAATATGTTGTTGGGGATGTCTTCCCGAGTCATTTCATATATATATAAGGTGTAGTAAAAAGAAATCCATTATTTTTGCATGAAATTGAAGGCTTTAATTACCATAGTTAGAATGATCCGATTTAAGTCAAATATGCGCCGTTTTGTTCGATAACTTGTTGCCATTTTGAAGGTAATTCCATTATGCCTCTCTCATAGAAGCCTTCGTCCCTATTGGCAAAAAATTGAGACAGTCGATTTTCACAAGCCTCTCTTGAGGCGAATTTTTTACCAGCAAAATCGTTCGCCATGGACAGGAACAGGTGGTAATCACTTGGTGCCAGGTCCGGACTATAAGGTGGATGCATAAGAACCTCCCAACCAAGCTCCCGGAGCTTCTGGCGAGTCACTATCGATGTGTGTGGCCTGGCGTTGTCCTGATGGAACACAATTCCTCTCCTATTGGCCAAAGCTGGCCGCTTCTGGGCGATTGCTTCCTTCAGACGGTCCAATTGTTGACAGTACAGTTCCGAGTTAAGAGTTTTGCCGTAGGGGAGCAGCTCATAGTAGATGATTCCCTGCCAATCCCACCAAACACACAGCAAAACCTTCCTGGCCGTCAATTCTAGCTTGGCCACCGTTTGCGCCGGCTCACCGCGATTCGACCACGACCGTTTTCGCTTGACGTTGTCGTAAGTGATCCACTTTTCATCACCAGTCACCATCCGCTTCAGAAATGGGTCGATTTTGTTGCGATTCAGCAACGATTCGCAGATGGAAATTCGGTCCATGAGGTTTTTTTGCGTTAACTCGTGTGGCACCCATACATCGAGCTTCTTTTTGTATCCAGCCTTATTCAAATGGTTCCAGACGGTTTTTTGTGCAATCTTTAGCTCTTGGGCAATCGAAACAGTGCTTACATGACGGTCGGACTTGACAATTTTCATGATTTCATCGACATTTTCGACAATTGGCCTTCCAGTGCGTGGTGCATCTATGACATCGAAATTACCGGAACGGAATCGACGAAACCAAAATTGCGCGTGATTGGCTGTTACAGTATCAGGACCATAAACACTATTTACATTTTTAGCCGCCTGGCTTGCGTTTTCGCATTTATCAAAGAAAAACTGTAAAATATGGCGTATTTTCTCTTTGCTAGTGTCCATCTTCGACGCGCGCTCAAACGAAATTTAGTCAACCAATCACAAAACTGTCCGAAACGTTTTTTTAGTACGAAATCTCATCTTTCGAACGCCATCTAGTTTAACCCGATCGGACTTATACAACGCGAGATACAGATTACAAACGCCATCTATTGGAAAAATAATGGATTTCTTTTTACTACACCTG